TCATCTTTAATTCATTTATCTCTCTATTTATAGTGTTCTATGTTTCACTTTGGTGTTTATTTAGGGCTCCTATGATTTCATTTATTTGTTTCTGTGTCTTCTCATATTCTTTAGTTTTGGTGTTTTGAAATTTCTTGAGTGCATCTTGTACATTTTGGTTAACCATGTCTTGTATCATCTCCATGAAATTCTCAGTGATTATTGCAGGACTTCTTCTATGAGGTTGTTTTTGTGGGCATCACTGGGTTCCTTGGTGTCATTTATCTTTGTTTTGTTGGAGTCTGGAAATGGGTATCCATTTTCTTCATTTCCCTCTGAATCCTGTATTAAATTATTTTTGAGGGGAGAGTGGTCTCCATCCCTTTTTCTTCTTCCCATTGCTCCACTTGGTACTGTGCAACTGTGTTCTTGATAAGCTATTTGGTGGCTTTAGTCATCTGTTTTCTTTCCCTTCCTTTAATTTTTGTTTTGTGGCTGTCTTGGGTTTTTAGCTAGGTTGGAGTGCTATTTCTGTCCTGGGTCTGGGTGTAATTTAGTAATAACTAATTCACAGGTTTAATACCTGACCAGGAGCTTATATGTTATATAGAAGACCCCTTAGTGGTAATATCTATAAGCAGTGGTAGTTGGGGGGTTAATGTTTGTAAGGCTAGCTATAGGAATTTGGGGAGTTGAATAGGGTGGCACTAAAGGGCGAGGTGGAAACTGGGGTGGGTGAGTGGGGGAAGCAGTGTGGGGGCTGCTGATTTTTGTGGTCCTTGTGTGTGTTTGGGTGTATTTCTATTGTTGTAGTAGAGGGTTCTTGTGTTAGGGGTTGCAGGAGTTTGGGGGATGAGTGTGTAGGAGGGAGGGATAGTCTGGTGACATGTTGGGGGAGAATGGGAGGGGAAGGTGAGGGCTAGGGGAGAGGTTGTGTGAGAAGGGGCAGATAAGTTGTTGGGGAGGGGAGCAATGGATTTTAGTACAGGAGAAGGAGGGAGAGTGAAGTGGGTGAGAGTAGGTATGAGAAGATGATGATGGTAAAGTTGATAGTATAGAAAGAAAAAAGATAATAAGAATAGAAAGACAAATAGAAAACCCACAATAATAAAACAAACAAAAAAAAGAAAAAAGAAAAACACCAGGTTCAGGAACAATAGAATTTCAGTCTTAGTTTAAGTTCTGGAGTTAGACCTCTGGCATCCAGTCCTGGTTTTGGCATATAAACAGAAGCTCTGACACAGTCTCACTAGGTGATTGGCTTGTGAGTAGTGTTTTGTTCTTCTGTCCACCAGTTAAATTGAAGTTGTGAGGTGAGGTAGCTTTGCCAGATCATGCAGGGTGGTCAGAGATATTGATTTCCTCAGCTGATAACTGTGTTACCCTTCAGCTGCAGCTGCTTGGTCATCTCCTCCCCCAATGAGGCAATTTAAGTTTGAATGCTTCCCTCAGGTTCAGGAAATCAGCTCTGTAGTCCACTAGTTGCCCTGCTTTGGAGGTGGCTTTTCACTGTGCTGGGATTTCTCCCCTTTTTCTGGGGCAGGTTCGGTGTTCAATCAGCTCCCTCTACTGTCAGTGTTTGCTGTTTGTTTTTCAGTTTTGCGGGGCAATTTGGCTTTAGGTGCTGCTCACTGGCTCAGAAGATGAGCTGTGTGATCCATTACTTGCCCTGCTTGGGGAGTGGCTTATCACCTGCCTGCTCTCTGCCTTCCTGCCTGTCCAGTGTTTGTTTACTGATAGTTCATGCTGAGATTATCTCCTTGCCCCTCCCCCTTTCTCATTTAGCATTCCCACCCCCTCTGCTGTTGTACTAGACTACAGTTCACTGTTTGTTATTCAGTTTTTTGGGGGAGGGTTAATCTGCTCAGGTGATGTGCTGGTTTATCCCAGGTGTGGCTAGGGGAATTCCGTGTGATGTGTGGCACTTACCTGTTTGGTCTGTTGAATGTGTCACAGGCAGGTTTGGAGCCGGTGGCAGCAGCTGCAGTGGTGGTGGCAGCCCTCAAGTTTTCTCAGTGTAACGTGTTGTGGGAAAGCTTTTTTTTTTTTTTTTTTTTGATTCAGGGTGTCAAAGGTTTGATTCTGGTTGGTGCTTTATTTCCACTTGATGAAGGAGGAGAAGAGAATGAAAGAAAAAAAAATTCCTGTGGGGAGAGAGGGTTTCCCCAGGGTTGGACCCACCTTGCTGGTTGGGCAGTGGGTGGCAGCTCTTAGGTCAATTAAAGGCTGATTTGTGGGTAGGTCTTTGAATTTTTTCCTGCACCTAGTTTGATGGCAGTTTTTATTTTGGCTAGAAGGAGTCAGAATTACCCAAGTGTGGCTCCAATGTCTCAGGGAGATTTTGGAGTCACAGAGCTTAGACTATCTGCATCCGTACCCTAGCTGCCATCATGGATCCTTCCCGCAAAGAAGTATTTTTAAGAAAAAGTCACACTCTTCTATAATGCTTTGCTCAAAGGCAACTATTTTAATCATGTAGTGATTACTTTTATTTCTTTAAATACTAAGTTCATGCTACTGTTTTCATGATTTAACAAACTTAGACTTGCCATGGACTTATCATCATCACTCTCTTCCTTTTACCAAAGTCCTCCCATTCTAGTTACATCATTTTAATACTTCTATTTATAAATTTAACTAATATACTTTTGTTGATTTTCTGTAGATAACATCTTTTGAATTCTTGCATTCAAAGGTGAGAATGTTAGTTATCATACCCTTATTTTCACTTCTTGCTCTCTCCTTTGGCCTCTCAATTTCTAACTCTACATTTACATTATCAACAACATAAAACACATTCTGGTTATAACATTGATTTCCTGCTTTCACTCTAGGTTGATTCTAAAAGTTGAAAATGAACCAACTGCTTTTATTGTGCTTGTGTAAATATTATTCAGCCCACAGTCAAATAGTGAGGTTCATTATCATTTCATTTCTTTTCTCAATTGTTTTTCTGAAATGTCTTTTTTCTTCCATTCTTTGCCTTTAATAAGTTTTTTTATGTTCTTCCAATGTCTCTGTTTTGCCATCTACTCTGGGGGACATGCTTATTTCCCTCATTTCTGTCAAGGCTTAGACTAATTTCACCCTTTACCCATTGAATAGTTGTCATCCTATGAGTTCCCTGCAGTGTTCTCTTGGATTAGATCCATTATTTTCTACTTCCCATATCTTCCTTTTTCTTTGTTTATACCCTCCTTTTGTTGGAGCATATCCACAAGCAGTTTGCTAAGAAGTGGTTGCTAGGATTGTGATGAAAAATGTTTTATTTTGCTCCATACTTCATCAGTTATTTAATCTTAATATTTCAAAAGTGGCCTTCTGATTTTCTTGAATGGTGTAATCTTCATTGCAATGAAGATAGATAACATTATAAACAGAAATGCTGAGAGAAACTTGAAAAGGGCAACTAAAGACTCCTTTGTATAAAACAAAGTAAGGAAACATGCAAACAGATATTGGCAAAATCCAGGAAGTTATAAAAATAAATAAAATAAGCAAGAGTTAGTTGCCTGCAGTTTATAGGTTCTTGTTATTAATTTTAGGTGTAAAGATTTTAATTTATTTGAAAGTTTTGTTGATGTAGGAGCCTAGGAATCACATTGCACTGGAAATCTGATCTCTGTGTTAAGGAAAGGGCTCAATTTTCCAAAATGTTAGTTTTATTATGACTTTCACCCAGGTAGATTGTGAAGTATGTGAGACAAAGCTTTTTGAATCCACTGATTTGAAATCCTCTGATTTCTCTAACATTGACACATACATTAAATGTGTGCACAGTGAACATTCTGGTCACAGGAAGGAAACAGGTCCATGAAGAATTTTTAGACACAATATATTTTGTTATATTATCATAAAACCTATCTACAAACACTTTTAAGTATTAAAATGCTCCTCTTTAAGTCAATCTTTTTAAATCCTCTCTGCTTTTGGGGAAGCTACCAAATGTAGGCCTTCAATGTTTTCAACATGTAATTGGACACCTATGACACATCCAGTACTCTCTGTGGGAGAGTCTTAAGAAATGTGAAGCATGTCTTCTGTATTCTAGGAGCTGATAGCACATATACAACAGTTAGCAAAACATCTCAATTTCTAACTAAGCATTAAGTTGTGCTTTGCAGACATAAGAACTATGGGAAGTGAGTAGTACAAGAGAAGCAAGGGCTAACTGATATTGAGCAAAGCTTCCTTTTTTTCCTAATAGTGTTTGCTTTTCTCATTGCTTAGAAACTATCTAAAATGTATTCAATTCACACCATTTAATATAATCTTTTCTTTTCTGAAATTATAGGGTCGAATCTTTATAGTTCTGTGCTGGAGGTACTGTACCTTTATTATTCTAGGACTCTAAAGTGAAAACCCATTCAAATGATAGACATTGAGTACCTGTACTTACCTGTCTCTAGACTGAGATCCTAGGAAACTGACATTATGTTTTTCTTATATAGCAGACACAGGCTGCTTTGCATGGTACCTTTGTGACAGGTGATTCAATATATAATTGTTGATTGACTGAGCGAATGGATGTAATCTTTCCTTCTTTGGGTTTATTATGTCAGCTGTTCAGGGACTGATGTCAATAAAATCAAGGACACAGGTTTAATCTTTATATTGTCCAATAGCTTCACATGAAGCTATTGAAAATCCTTTTCATGATCCTTTCACATAGCCTCAATACAAAACAATTCTGCGTACTTGTACAGATTGTGCTATACAAAATCTAAGGACATTTTTCTCTTCACTAAATACTCTCCTGAGATTCTTTCTCATTTATATCTTCTGCAGAGTTAGCGTTTGGGAAAAATAACAACAAAGCTAGAGTCTGATCAGTGTTAGTTTTGATACCACTCCTGACAGACACCAGCTCCAGAAGCCAACGGCAAAATAATTTATTCCTCAGAGACCTGGGAATCCTTTCTCAAGCAAAACTAGTGCCCTAACACTTATCTTAGAATGTGAGCTTTCTTTACTACCACAAGCCTGAAAAGTAATGCTCTCTCTCATCACCTCTATGGCAGATGATAGATGGTCACGACAGCAAAAAGTAAATGTCCAGTTCCTCCGCTCCAACATTGGAATTGTTTCCCAGGAACCAGTGCTGTTTGCCTGTAGCATAATGGACAACATCAAGTATGGAGACAACACCAAAGAAATTCCCAAGGAAAGAGTCATAGAAGCTGCAAAGCAGGCTCAGCTGCACGACTTCGTCATGTCGCTCCCAGACGTGAGTACCAAGTCTGTCTCTCTCCCTGTGTGGACAGACAGAATGGCCAAAACATGCTATTATTATGACTCAAGGAGAAGGCAACACAATTTGTTTCCCAGTGCCCAATATATCAGGTATTATTTTTGCTTTAAGCCAACAAATATCCTCTGTCAACATATTCTTTAATTTTTTTTACAGCATTTTTTTTTGGTACTGGGGCTTTGAACTCAGGACTTTGTGCTTGCTAGGCAGGCACTCTACCACCTGAGCCATACTGCCAGCCCTGGAAGGTATTCTATTGGCCAATAAAATAGATGCCATAAAATTTGTCATACATAAAGCACTACCACATAGAGCATTAGCTTAGCATGGTGGAATAAAAAGCTTGAGATTTGGAGTAGACATGGATTTGAATCCAAGCTTTACCTCTTCCTGGTTATGTCTGTAACTTTGGAACAATTATTTATCCATTCTAAGATTGTCTGTTCCATCTGTAAAATGCAAAAATTAGCATTAAAATGACCGAATAAGGGGCTTGGGATGTAGGTGAGTGATAGAGCTCTTGCTTAGCATAGATGAGGTCCTGAATTCAATCTCCACTGCCACAAAACAGACAGACAAAATGAAAGAGTACACTTGATTAGCACACAAGGAAAGCTGTGGCTGCTGTTACTGACATCATTACTTGGCAGCAGGGGCTGGGTGTGATGGGTGAGTTTCCTCTGCCTTGGGGTCTCTTCCTTTTCCAGAGCCAAGTCTGAACTTAGCATGGCCTCTGCTCTGCATATCCATTCACCAAGCATCTCTCTTGGTGGTGGTTGGTTGATCACAAGGAAAATTAAGACATGAACACTTTCCTGATACATAGTAAATACTGATTGTTAATTATTTTTAATGTAGCTGTTCGGGAATCTAAGTACACATTCTCCTTCCTAATTTCATCAAAAACTCACAAAGAAATTTGTGAACTAAGTGCTAATTCTACATTTTCCAGATGAGTTTGTAGCTCAAAGAAATAAGTTGTTCATGATTGCAGAGCTAGGAAGCTGCAGAGTGTTAAGTTCAAACCATGGCTTGTGTTGCAGAATGCTGTCTTTCCAGTAAAGGATATGACCAGAATGCCTCTTAAAAGGCATGTCCCTTCCTGGGATTATTCCATCTTGGAGTGATCTTCCAGACAAGAGTCAGGAAACCAAGGACACAGGGAAAAAGAGATTAAAAGTATAAATCTTAAAGAAACAGAGATGGAGAATAAAATCCCCTCATTTCCCAGCACAAATTTCATATATTTTAATATTTCTAAGTGGATTTGATACCTTTGATAGGACTCATTTATGATTCCCACATTCAAAGATGAAGGGAGGAGTCATCAATGTGAGCTCCATACAGCACAGGAGTCGTGACTCTTTCTAGTTCTCAAGCCTTATGATGCTTTTCCCCAGAAATATGAAACTAACGTTGGGAGCCATGGATCTCAGCTCTCTCGAGGGGAGAAACAGCGCATTGCTATTGCTCGGGCCATTGTACGAGATCCTAAAATCTTGCTACTAGATGAAGCCACTTCTGCCCTAGACACAGAAAGTGAAAAGGTATGGACTGATTTTCTAAAGTCTCAGATCATTATTTATGGGTCTTTGCTATAAGATTTGTTCTTATAAAATGATGCTGTTTGTAGTTTCCTGATTTATTATCAGTAGAAATTAACAATGCTTTAAGGTAGCAGAAGACAATAATTTAGAGAAAATGTCTTAAAATAGGATTGCTTCAAATAAAAAAATTTAACTTTAAGAGAATAATTGTTTTTAAATAAGTGACATTTTTCAAAGGCAAATAATTAGCTTTCTTAATAAAATAATCTAGTCTATCTGTTAGGCATGACATTTTATAGTTCTCAAGTTGTGTGACAGAACAGGTATGCCACATACAACACAAAGAAGGAGGTGGTGTCCGTGTGCAGCTGGCATGAAGGAATGCAATTGAGAAAACACCATCATGATTTCAAAACTTATGATTAACTCCTTTCAAATCTCTCCCTTTGAGACAGCCAGTATGTCCAGTGAAGAAATGTATCAAGAATGACTGGTTGTATTGCACCCTGTGTTGTTTCTTGGTTTCACTTTAGTAAAACCAGTATTGTAAGGCACATAGTGACTTCATAGTTCGGTTCATTCTTGCTTCTCTGAAGTTTCTCAGCCTGTTAGTTGCAGTTTGAATCATTGGTGCACTGCATCAGCAAATACTTGCTTAATCTTCTCTTGTGTTGAGACTTTGGGTTTCCTCTTACGTATGGAATTGTTGCTCACAGTGGTGGACAGGGAACAATCACCTATCTGTGCATTCTCTCTTCATCCCCCTTTGCAGACCGTACAGATTGCTCTGGACAAAGCCAGAAAGGGTCGGACCTGCATTGTCATTGCCCATCGCTTGTCTACCATCCAGAATTCGGACATCATTGCTGTCATGTCACAAGGAATGGTGATTGAGAAAGGAACCCATGAAGACCTAATGGCCCAGAAAGGAGCCTACTACAAGCTAGTCACCACGGGAGCCCCCATCAGTTGACCTCACTCAGGAACCTTATGCTGAGATGATACACCAAGTACAAGGCATGCTGCAGGTTGCTAGATCTTTAAGGAGAAAAGTTAATATCTCACTTTTACAGACATAGTCATACACTGGGGTACAAGCTAATTTCTAATGAGCTTCAATGATAATTCAGTTTTACATGTAGAAAATGAAAGAAACTAGGGTCAGTGTGAGTGAAAATCCAGGGTCAAGCAGCTGCTTAGCCACCATCTAGTGCTGCTGTGTGCAGGAACCAGTCTCAGTCACATGTGGGAGTTAGTGAGAGGTCATGGAGTGAATGCTTTGAACTCCTCAAGGGCAAAGGATTGTCTTTTGCATATTTGAACCTTTGGATATTTACACCAAGCCTGGTCTGTAATAGGCACTTAACAAATGTTCCTTGAGCTAGGTCAAGGTCAAACATGAAAAGAGCAAAAAGACCAAAGGCAATTTGTATTTCTTAACTAATTTTTTTTACATATGAAAGCATATTAATTTATCTCTGGCCTGCATGGAGGGAAAGGAGGACTTTCACACCCTATAAGCTCTCAAACCAAGGGAGGCACTGGTGGGAGAGCAGGATTAGCAAGGGTTTATTAGTTAAGTGTGTTGTTTAGGCTAGGGATGTAGTGTATAGAGAAGGGGATGAAATTCACTATATACTGACGAGCAGGGATGCTATAATAGGTCTTGTACTTCTCATCACTCCTTTCCATGCTGATTGTCCTTTATTTCTATGAAATCCTATTCATGAAATGAAAATGGTGTGTTTTTATTTTGCATTAGTTTCCTAAGGTGTTATACAAACAGGCAGTTAAATATGGCAGAAAATGCTCATGTTTGTCCCTGCTCCTCAGAAGACCACTGTATGGTGTTAAAGGAATTAAAGAAGATATAAAGCCACAGAAATTAAGAAAACAAAATGGTGCCAACTACAAAATGTTGACAGCCAGAAAGCAAATGGACAACCCATAATGAATTCAGAAGATGAGAGAAAATAAATATTAGTAGGACGGAAGCATATGAACATTTCATTTTGTACTACAGGTTCCTAGAAAGGTTCAGGAAATAAAATCACAGGGTCCTTCTGGAAGTGGGGAGGAGAAAGAGAGATGGGGCTGAAGACAGAAGAATGGGCTGAAAGCCTGTGTAGAAACAGGTATAGAGTCCCTACTGCCATATGCTGGATGTGCTTCCCCAATCCCAAAGGAACACTGGCTATTCCCTCTCTGGGAAAGCTCACAGCAGACTTGTACATAGAGACACAGTTGAAGGGCTGATTAACATACAGGAGATAGATAGTGAACTGAGTGGAAGACTATATATGAACAGAAAAGAATAAATCTCTGGGAAAACTGGTCAATATAAGAAATCTATGGTTCCAATGCTAGGAATCGTCCAAAGACTATTTCGTAGCCAGCTTACCTGGCTGTGAGGCCCACCAACCAACAAGCATCCACTCACTCTGAGCATGCCTGGCTTTTCAGTGTCTCCCTCTTGAATGTGAATAGATGGGCAAGGATCACCAGGAGACATTTTAACATGTAAAACAAAAGTAATGACAAAAAGAACACCAAGGAGAAAGAAATACATGTAGCAAAGCATGCAAAAACTAGGAAAACACAGAGTGGTAGCAAGTTCACTCAATGAAACAAGAGAAGATAATTCCATCTATGCAAATAGAAACAGGAGTTCATACAAATGAACACAAACATACTCAAATAAACCTACACAAAAGAGCTCTTGCTAGCAGAAATGAAAACTTCAATAGCAGGACTGTGCAGGACTGTGCAGTTCTGCGGTCCTATCAATCACACTTTCTCTTTCTTCCATCTTCCTCCCAAGGGCTTCTAAGAATAAGAACATCCCTTTTGACCAATCAACATGCCTAAGTTCTGGAGAACAAATTTGAGTATAATTGACTCAAATTGACTGAGTTTGAATACCACTTGCAAGGGTACTTAGAAAATTAAGGGAACTTACCTATAACATTTTTTCTTTCCATGTCCAACAAATGAACTCTGTAAGTAAGCCTGAGCTGTGGTTTTTTTGAGGCTTATTATTTGGTTTTGTCCAGTGTCTCCTGATAAATAACTGCAAAGATGGTTTTAGCAGGTTAACTGGTCAGGCCAGAATTAGTGACGGTTGCCAAGTTGAGGTGACAGAGGGTGGAGGAATGCATTCTAGTTATGAAAAATGGACAGTGGCCATTTTTCTAGCAGTGCCTGCTAGAAGGAATTAGGCTTTGCAGTACACACATGCTCACCCTCTAATTTTGAAGACAGAAGACTAAAATCCACTTGTTTAGGCTTGCATTTCAAGGAGAGAGAATGTGGGTTCTGTGCTAGGAAGTTATATGTTTTGTAGAAAGGAATTTGTGAAGTGTACAAAAGGTATCTTTTCAAATAAGGTACTTAAAAACTATGGATAACAAGGAAAAGATTGGATGAAGAGGATGTGAAATGATTTGGGGAAACAATTTTTCCTCCCTCCTTCCTCTTTTTCTTCCCTCTCTCTCTCCTTCCCTCTTTCCCCTCTTCCCTCCTTCCTCCTTCCCTTCCTTCTTTTTTTCTTTCTTTTTGAGATACCAGGGACAGAACTCAAGGCTTCACCCAAGCTAGGCAAGTGCTCTACTGCTACCACTGAGCTGCATGTCCAACAAAAATTGCTTTCTGAGGCTCAGTGACAAGGGAGATGATTGCAACTTCAAAAGTAAATAAATTAATTAATAAATAAACAAACAAATAAATAGTTGTGTGTTTATCTTACAACACCAGAGGGTGTCAGTGTCTCCATTTTTATCCTGTATCCTCTAACACTGGCAAAAGATTTGATTTTACAATTTTACATTATTAATGTTTCTAGAGTGACAAGGGTTGGCTTAATCTGTTCTGCCTGATATTCATCAGGTTTTCCCCTAATTTCCAACAATTTTCATGATGTGTCTGTGTTAGATCAACTCTCCTCATTAACCCAGTTAATAAAAGTTTATAGAAGAAAAAATAGAAGGGTTGGAAACGGGAAATTTCTCTGAAGGTAAAATGTTAAGAGAGAGATGAAAAGTAGAAAAAAGGAAGAAATTTTGAGGGACAATTCAGGAGGTACAAGAATTAACTAATAGCATTTCCACAGTCAGATGAAACTGAGGGAAAGAAATAGTCCAAGAACATTTCCTGTAATTGAGGAATATGAATTTCCAAGCTTAAAGTGTTCACCAAGTGTTGAATGTAATTAAGATCCTCCTTGTGCATGGTGTTATGAAATTTTAGAAAACTGGGAAAATGGAGTAGGGGTGTGACTCAGTGATAGAGCACTTTCCTAGCATGCTCAGGGTTCTGAGTTTGATCCCTTGCATGGTTGTGTGTGCACACAAATGCACACTCACACACACCAGCAAAAAACCCTGGGGAAATGAGAAGCTACTAAAATTTTCCAGGCGAGAAGGGGATAGTGTTATATATCAGATGAAGAATCATGATGATGTAGAACCTCTTGACAACAAGAATTCTGAGGGGAAATTTTTCTACACATAGCAAACTATTCTCAAGAATGAGAAGACTCTAAAGAAATTCTCAGCAATGCAAAGTCTCAAAACTTTTACTCACCATACTTTTTTTTCTCAGAAAGCCACAGAACAGAGGTTTCCCTAAAATAAGAGGGCAAACAAAGAAAGAAGAAAGAGACACATTCAGGAACAGGTGATCTAACTTAAGAATGAGGTGCTGGAAATCTCCAGGATGATTGAAAGGAAGATCCGAGAAAACAGGTGTTCTGTAGTCATGGTGGGCAGTCAGCCCACATTGAAGTTGCAATGGATTCTTAGAGGGATGTCTCCTGGGAAAACATGATGCTGCTGGACTACCTGGTGGGTTTGAATGTTGAGAGGAGACTACCTTCTGGTAGAGGTTGAGGGTAAATAAGTAATGGGTAATGGAACACACATGAACAGAGAGGAGAAAGAGAGAGAGAGAGAGAGAGAGAGAGAGAGAGAGAGAGAGAGAGAAACTTTTAGCTCTGAGGAAAGAAAAATTATACAGAAAGGAAATATATTTATGCTATATTGAATGACTCACCTGAGAGTATTATTTACAAATAATGATCTAAGTCAAAATTATAGCAGGTTGTAGAAGCAAAAAGAAAATATGTACATGTAAACATTAAATAAGTTTCATGTATGTATGTTTGTAAGTTATACATGTATTTTATTCAAGCCAATGTATACAAAATATCACCGTTATAACACATAATATAAAAATTACTAGAGCTATTTCACATTAGTTTATCATACTAAATATTCATTTAGACTTATAGCATGTCTTAATCCAGACTAGGCACATGTCAAGTTCTGTTCCAATATTCACCTCTTTGAGTTGGTGAAAGGAAAAAAACTAAATTATTTGATGTAACAAAGAAAAAAAGACTGCCATACTTTCTAAGTTCCCTGAGGATCTCTTTAAAAAGTAAGTTTTGTTCCGATTATTTTATAAGGCTCATTTATGACTTTTTTCTATGAAAAATTTGAGCAGCACATTTTTCCAACTTCTTTTGGGAAGAGATCAATCCAGGTCAAAATTGAATGAAAACCCATGCCCATAAATAAAATGCTACTAATTGAGAAAAAAGCAAAAATGTTGAGCTTCTAGATTCTTTTGTCTAACAACTGTCTTACACATTACTCTAGGCCTACCTTACATGTACTCTTCAGAAATTTCACTAAAAAAAACACCTTGAATTTAGTGTTGCCCTCTACTAAAAATGCTACTATGTATTCATTTAAGACACAGATACTGGAATATTTTGGCATTATGTCCTAGTTAAGGAAAATGTATAGGATCCTAATTAGGTTTAGATTTTATTCAAGAATTAAGTGTAAACTTCTCATTCTAGGAAGTTGACATGTTGGTTTAGGATCCCACCTCGTATTTCCCACTAAGGGTTTGATTTAAAAATATCTCTTATGCATGAAGCATCACTTAGCAATCAGGTCACATGAGGAT